AGCAGGCGGAAAATTTAATTATCCGCACCAATGGATGAATAAATCAACCATTTTTGTGAATAAAAAAATATTCACAAATGTGGATAAAAAATTATCCACGCTAATGGATAAATGGATTATCCATGTTTGCGGATAAATAAATTACCTACATTTGTGGATAAAAAATTGTTCGCGTTTGTGAATAAATACATTTATCCACACTTGCGGATAAATATATTATCCATAATAAATAAATAAATAAATAAATAAATAAATAAATAAATAAATAATAAATAAATAAATAATTCATATTAGCGGATATAACAATTATCCAAATTTCTGGGTAAAAAAAAATTATCCACATTTGTGGATAAATATATTATTCACCTTTGAGGATAAAATTATTATCCACGTTTGTGGATAAAATTATTATCCACGTTTGTGGATAAAATTATTATCCATGTGTGTGGATAAAATTATTATCCATGTGTGTGGATAAAATTATTATCCACGTTTGGGGATAAAATAATTATTCACGGTTGTTGATAAAATTGTTATCCATGTTTGTGGATAAAATTATTATCCACGTTTGTGGATAAAATTATTATCTACGTTTATGAATTAATTTATTATCCACGTTTGTTGATATATAAATTATCCACGTTTGTGGATAAAATTATTATCCACGTTTGTGGATAAAATTGTTATCCACGTTTGTGAATAAAATTATTATCCACGTTTGTGAATAAAATTATTATCCACGTTTGTGAATAAAATTATTATCCACGTTTGTGGATAAAATTATTATCCACGTTTGTGGCTACAATTATTATCCACGTTCGTGGATAAAATTATTATCCACGTTCGTGGATAAAATTATTATCCACGGTCGTGGATAAAATTATTATCCACGGTCGTGGATAAAATTATTATCCACGTTTGTGGATAAAATTATTATCCACGGTCGTGGATAAAATTATTATCCTCGTTTGTGGATAAAATTGTTATCCACATTTGTGGATAAAATTATTATCCACATTTATGGATAAAATTATTATCCACATTTATGGATAAAATTATTATCCACGTTTGTGGATAAAATTATTATCCACGTTTGTTGATACATAAATTATCCACGTTTGTGGATAAAATTATTATCCACGTTTGTGGATAAAATTATTATCCACGTTTATGGATAAAATTATAATCCACGTTTGTTGATATATAAATTATCCACGTTTGTGGATAAAATTATCCACGTTTGTGGATAAAATTATTATCCACGTTTGTGGATAAAATTATTATCCACGTTTGTGGATAAAATTATTATCCACGTTTGTGGTAAAAATTATTATCCACTTTTGTGTATAAAATTATTATCCACGTTTGTGGATAAAATTATTATCCACGTTTGTGGATAAAATTATTATCCACATTTGTGGATAAAATTATCCACGTTTGTGGATAAAATTTTTATCCACGTTTGTGGATAAAATTTTTATTCACGTTTGTGGATAAAATATTATCCACGTTTGTGCATAAAATTATTATCCACGTTTGTGTATAAAATATTATCCACGTTTGTGTATAAAATTATTATCCACGTTTGTGGATAAAATATTATCCACGTTTGTGCATAAAATTATTATCCACGTTTGTGGATAAAATATTATCCACGTTTGTGGATAAAATTATGATCCACGTTTGTGGATAAAATTATTATGGATAAAATTATTATCCACGTTTGTGGATAAAATTATTATCCACGTTTGTGGATAAATTTATTCACGTTTGTGGATAAAATTATCCACGTTTGTGGATAAAATTATTATCCACGTTTGTGGATAAAATTATTATCCACGTTTGTGGATAAAATTATTATCCACGTTTGTGGATAAAATTATTATCCACGTTTGTGGATAAAATTATTATCCACGTTTGTGGATGAAATTATTATCCATGTTTGTGGATAAAATTATTATCCACGTTTGTGGATAAAATTATTATCCACGTTTATGAATTAATTAATTATCCACGCCAGGGTCAAAATTTTGAGTGATTACAACTCTTATAAAATGTGATGAAAGAGTCCGATTGTTTTCAAATTTCACACATCCCAATATTTATATTAACCCAAGGTCTGGTGTTAAGATGGAATATATCGGTCCATTCCTTCTGGGACCTCACCCACAAATGGTCGAAATTTTCAGAAAAAAATATTTTCTGCACAGCAAGGGAAGCAATAATCCAATTTTGATCTAACTCTGCAAATGCTAATATTTGCGTCAGTTCTAAAACAGGTGAAAAAATGGATAACATCGGTCCACTCCTCCAAGTGCCTCTCACACAAAGGGTCAACATTTTGAATAATTATTACTCTTATAAAATATGATGTAATAGTCCGATTGTCTTCAAATTTCACACATCTTAGTATTTTTATGAACCCAAGATCTGGTAATAAGACGAAATATATCGGTCCACTCCTTCTGGTACCTCCCCCACAAAAGGTCGAAATTATTAAAAATGTATATACTAACAAGTAAAAAGCTGTAAATTCGGGTCGAACTTTGAATACCCTCCACCATTTGGTACAAATTTAACAATTTTCAAAAAAATAAAATCCGTTAAAAATTCTGTTAAAATCTTAAAAATACCGAATGTACCCGTATATTAGGGTCTATACGAAAACGTGGACCTGCATAGACAACTTTTGTCACAAGCTGTTACAATATTCAAATGCGAAACTGGAAAAAAATCTGTTTATAATGTAGCAAAAATCATCAAAATACCGAATATAGGGAGGTACCATGTGGGTTATAAAACGTGGATATGCACATACAATTTTCTGTCATAGGCTGTAGTATCCATTACGAACTTCAAATACCAAAATCGAAACAATTCCGGTAAATAGTGTCGCTAAAATCCTCAAAATACCGAATATCGGGAGGTACCGTTATATGGGGGCTAAATCATCAAAATACCGAATATAAAGAGGTACCATGGGGGTTATAAAACGTGGACCTGCACAGACAATTTTCTGTCATAGGCTGTAGTATCCATTACGAACTTCAAATACAAAATTTGAATTAATTCTGGTAAATAATGTCGCTAAAATCAATTAAAATACCGAATATCGGGGGTTCCGTTATATGGGGGCTATACGAAGACGTGGACCTGCACAGGCAATTTTCTGTCATAGGCTGTAGTATTCATTACAAACTTGAAATACAAAATTTGAAATAGTTCCGGCAAATAATGTCTCTAAAATCATCAGAATACCCAATTTCGGGAGGTACCGTTATATGGGGGCTATACGAAGACGTGGACCTAAATGGCCCATTTTCAATACCAAAAGTCCTGAAGTCATAATACACATTTGAGTCAAATTTTATCAACCGACTTCATTTCGTTCGGAAGCTAGAGTGATTTCCACAGACGGATAGACGGACGGACATTGATAAATCGACATAGAATTTTATGCTGATCAAGAATATAATACTTTGTGGGGTCTAAAATGTATTTCGAGGTGCTACAAACGGAATGAAAAACTTAATATACCCTCTATACTATGGTGGAGGGTATAAAAATTATCAGTATTTGTTGGTTAAATAATTTTATCCATATTTGTGGATAACTTTTTTTATTCATATGGGCGGATAAAAAATCATCCACATTGGTGGATTTCCATTGTAATGGATATACTGGTTATTATAGACAAATTATCCAAAATAAATGAATTAAATTATTTGACCCCCTTAAATGTTGTAACCATTCAATTAAAACTACCACCCCCTTAGATTTAGCATCACATGTGTGTGTGCACCTGAAGCAAATAATTCCTCCTCTATCAATTGCCAGGCTATTAGGTTTTAATTTTTCCCAATACTTGAAGGACTCTTTTTGCAGATACCTTATTTACATTGTCATTCACCTGGTGTAACCATTCACTGTTACAATGTTGGCAAACAATATGTGAGTGTGCGTGTGTGTTGGTGCACTTGGCCAACAGATTTACCAACTGAGGGTATTTATTTTTCCTGTTTACTTTCAGAGAAGAGAGAAAAAAACAACAGCAACAACAACAACACAAAAATCAAAAGCCACGACAATAACAAAAAGTTAACATCAAATCACAGAGCATTAATTGCTCATCCTTAAGTGGGTCAAGTTGAGTGCGACAAAACAGATGGTAGATGGGTGGGGGTCTCGTTCACATATTGTCGTAGCTGAGATAGGCCACTCTAAGATGCTATGCTCCACTTGAGGAAATTGATGGTCAGTTTAAAAAATCACAGAAAAAAGGAAGGTGTTGGAGAGAACAAGAAAAAATAGCACCTGCTTTTCTTTCCGATGGCTTGCGTCTAAAAATAAAAAATTGTTACTTCATTGCAGGTTAGCTGCTTCTGCTGCTGATATTTCATGGCCATCAGCCATGTAGCCATGAACCGACAATAGAATCCCCCCTTGGGGCAATATATCTTTTGTCGACCCCCCATCATATTTTCACAGACGGACTACTTTCATTCATGTGTTTCACTTTTATATTTCCTTTTTCCTTTCAATCTTTCTCAATCTGATGCTCTATTGGCTTTTAGAGCAAAAAAAAAAAAAACAAAAAAAAGAGAAAAGAAAAAGTGAAACCCAGCTCAGCTCTCCCATGCCTTTCTTGTCGTTAAGTTGATTAATTTCTTTGCCAGCTACTTTTTTTTCGTTTGCCTGAAGGTAACCTTGACAGGTGGATGGATATCTTCATAATGGAGCTAACAAATGGATAGATGTCATCAAGATTTGAATCTAAGAAAAAAAATTGACTTGTAATTTGATTTTTCTCTCATTTTTTTCAAGAGAAAAGAATGGAAACGAAAAAGGGGGAACAATTATCCTTGAGTTTTCTTTGATAAATCAAGGATTCAATAAAGGTTTACTCGAGAAAAGTCTTATTAGAACTTGAAAATAAAATCATTCAAATCAATTATTAACTTTCAAAATGTTAATTTATTTCTCCTTTGTTTTATTTTCAGATACTCAAACCCATGCACCACAGATGAAATTAACGTCCCGTATTTGTCATTGTCCCTGCAGCGCCGAGCCCATGAGCAAAAGAAGAAACATAATGCTCCCTAAGATGCCATCGAAGTCCTTTAAAACTATTTGTTTACTATTGTTTGTGGCACTGCTATCATCAAGCCTAGTGACACCCGTAACGGCCCAATGTCCTTGGCACCGGGATTTACCCGATCTGCAGACATCCTGCATTTGCTCATATAATTTGGGTCGTGAACTCTCTGTACAGTGTGATCAGGTATGTAAAATTAAAAAAAAATCAAACAATAATTGAAGTTAGATAAAAATATCAAGATTTGATAAATTACACTGGGCAACACAAAAAAAATTGAGGGAAAATTCAGCAGATTATGAAAGGCCGAACTTTGAATACCCTTTACCATTTGGAACGACTTTGGAAATTTTCAAAAAAAAAAATAAAATCCCTTTATTTAAAAAATTCTATTAAAATCTTAAAAATACCAAATATAGCCGTTATAAAAAAGCAAGTGGGCGGTCTTAGAATACCCTCTACCATTTGGAACGAACTTAAAAAATTTCAAAAAAAAAAATAATAAAATCCCTTACAAATTCTGTTAAATCTTAAAAATACAAAATATGGCAGTTATATTCGGGTCCGTACGAAGACGCGGACCTGCATAGGAAACTTTTGTCTTAAGCCATTACAATATTCAAATACGAAACTTGGGAAAAATTCCGGTGAATAATGTAGCTAAAATCAAAATACCGAATATAGAGAGGCACCGCTATATCAGGCCTATACGAAGACCTGGACCTGCATAGACAATTTTCTGTAGTACCTATTAGTAGTACTTCAAATACGAAATTTCAAAAATTTCGGTGAATATTGTACCTAAAATCGTCAAAATACCGAATATAGGGAGATACTGATGTATGGGGCCTATACGAAGACCAGGACCTGCATAGACAATTTTCTGTCATAGACTGTAGTTCCCATTACGAACTCTAACTACGAAAGGATTTGAAACAACTACGGTGAATAATGTCGCTAATATCATCAAAAAACCGAATTTCGGGAGGTACCGCTATATGGGGGCTATACGAAGAAGTGGACCGGCACAAACAATTTTCTCTCTTAGGCTGTAGTATCCATTACGAACTTTAAATACCAAATTTGAAACATTTCCGGTGAATAATGTTGCTTAAATCTCCAAAATACCGAAAATAGGAAGGTACCATTATATGGGGGCTATACCAAAACGTGGACCTGCATGGCCTATTTTTAGTACCCAAGGTCCTGCAGACATAATATACAATTGAGTAAAATTTTATCAACCTACTTCATTTCGTTGGGAAGCTAGAGTGATTTCGACAGGCAGACAGACGGACGGACGGACATCGCTAAATCGACATAGAATTTTATGCTGATCAAAGTCTGAAATGTACATTTGGACGTGTTACAAACGGAATGACAAACTTAATTATGCCCCCTTATACTATGGTGGAGGGTATAAAAAGAAGACATGTTTATCGGTCTTGGGAAGGTTTACATCGCAAAGTTCCATTCCCAGCGAAGCGCTTGTTTGAGTTGATCGACACTTTGGTATTTTTTGGTGCCAACCTTGTTCTCCAAAATACTCCATAGTCGAACGGATTTGTATCCGAAGATTTTGGTGGCCATTGTGGCGCTGAAATGAAGCGAGGAACCTCATTTTGTAACCATTCTTGGACGGCGTGTGCTGAGTCATGTTGGAATGTCCAAGGTCTGCGACCAAAAAGTTTACGTGCCCAAGGCTTTAATACACCCTCCAGAATATTTTCGCGATAATATTCGGCATTTATTCTGATGTCACGGTCGATTAATACTAGCCAAGAGCGACCATCGGCTGTTATGGCTTTCCACACCATCACCATGTCCGACGCTTGAGTTCTGGTGGCCAACCGAAGGTGCACATTTTCAGCTGACCTCTTTGGCAAGTAAACACGATCATTTTGTTTGTTTGCAAACGGCTGGACAACGAATGTTTTCTCATCGGAGAAAACCAAATACGACAGTTCACCACTTTTGGCCAAGCGAAACAATTCTTTAGCTCTTTTGATTCTATTTTCTTGTTGTTGCGGTGTAAGTTTTTGCACCTTTTGGAATTTCAATGGCTTTACCCCGAGCTCATTTTTCAATATTTGCCAAATGGAATTTTGCTGATGTTGCTGCATTCTTCCGTCCACTTCCGTGACGTCGGCCTACGCTACCAGTATCACGGCGAACGATGGTACGAGACACAAAAGATTTCTCCAACGATAGCCACTTGTGGTTTTCCAGCCAAATATAAAGAAATCACACTATCACGCTTGAATTCCTCCATCACGAATAACTTTTTTTTTCTGGAAAATTCTCACCAAAATGCTTTCGTATGCTTGTAAACAATATAATGAGCTGTCACTGGAATAATTTTAACAGCTGTCGGACGAGTGCCTTAATAATGGCAGCAGTCTGAAGTTGATTGCAGTTTTTTACATCTCACCCTGAACACAATATTCACTTTTAGTACAAAAATTTAATTTTTTGCGGGAACCATTGTTCCTAGATATTGGGTTTATTCCGATATTTATAGTGAAATTTTCTAAGGAATTTTTCGTCTTTGAAACATTCCGAACAAAAACGAATTTTTATGTTACTTTCAGGCGTCAACTCGAAAAAAGTCCGAGAAAAAATTTATTCAAGGAATTAGGGAATATTTTTTTTTCGTTTTTTTTTTTGGTACAATTATTTTCTTGATATATAATTGAAATAGAGATTTCTTTTCAATGGAGACTTATAGTAAAATTCGGTGAAGATTATTTTTGCCCTTGACGATATCCCTCTAAAATAATGCTTTGTAGGAGAATATGGCACAAATTGACAAGAAGTACGGTTAAAACCGAAAGAAAAAATTCTCGTTTTTTGGCAACATTGACGTCAATATTTTCTTGATATATTATAAAAATAGAGATTTCTTTTATTTGGTGACATATAGCAAAATTTGATGGAGAACATTTTTGTCCTTGAAGTCATCCTTCAAAAATGATGCTTTGTTGGAGATTTTTGCGTAAATTCACAAAAAGTGCGACTTTAACCCTAAAATGTGTTTTTAAAATATATGAATTTCTAGCGTTTAGGTACGATTTAGACCCTTGACCTCTTCTAGGTCCTATAGAAGAATTTCATAACAAATAATTTTGTAGAATGTTTTGACTTGTTACGATCCCGCTTAAAGGGAGTTTTTAACCATATATTCAAAGAAGGACCCAAAAGACCCCTTTTATGACTTAGATGAGGGTTAAAATGTTCGACAAAAATATTCCTGGTATTTTTATCTGCAATATTGTCAAAGACACTATATATCTAGAAGGCATGGATTTCGAGGAATCTTATTTTGAATATTTTCTAAAAGTGTGGAAGAGGGGGGGGGACTTTGCCCCTCTATTTTGGGTCTCTTTGCGATGTAAACTTTCACAAAGCCGACATACGTCTTTTTTAGCTCTACTTTCATAATACGCTGGATTTTCCCTGTAATTATTGAAAAAAAAAATATTTTGTAGCACAGTGTAATTATTTATTCACAAATTATCCTTGGATAAAAAATCCGCTTTGGACGGATTATCCAGATTTGATATATTAAATAATATCTCTTTTAACTCTTTCTCTCTCACTCTCTCTCTCTCATTCTTTTCCTCTCTCCCTGTCTGCAGGTTCACTTCCCCACTCTATTGGAGGCCTTAAACAAATATGTCAAACAGAAACCCATCGATTTGCTGTACATCAACAACTCGACAGTGGGCGATCTGACAGATGACATCTTTGCCAATTTGAGTCTACACAATGTCCAGTTGTCCTCGTGTAAGATATCCCAAATTAGTGATGGTGCTTTCCATGGACAAGAGGAGGTTTTGAAGAATCTCAATCTGCAGGACAATCTACTCGAAGAAGTGCCCACAACGGCTTTGAGAATATTGAAAATATTAAACCTCTTAGATTTATCCAAGAATCGTATAACCAACATACCCGACGATGCCTTTAAGGGTTCCTTGCGTTTGTCCACCTTAAAGCTAAATGACAATAATGTCACCCTGGCAGTGGGTGCTTTTCGGGGCCTGGAGAATAGTTTGAAAAACTTAAATTTGAAGGGTACCAAACAGCGACGTGTTCCCGAGAGCATACGAGGTCTGAAAAGTTTGGCATTCTTAGACTTGTCGTTGAATGGCATAAAGGAGTTACCCGGGCCGGGTGGTATACGCACCTTTGATGGTTTGGATTCATTAACTGCCCTGAATTTAGAACGAAATCTTATTCAAAGTCTGGGAGAATCATCATTTGTGGGCGTCCGCAAAACCCTGAGTTCGTTGAGTTTGTTGAACAATCTCTTGGCCGATTTCCCTGTTGGAGCCATTCATGCCTTAAAGGAGTTAAGGGTTTTGGATATTGGTTTTAACCTCTTGACCAGCCTGCCGGAAACAGCCTTCCGTGGCAATCCCAGCATAACCCTGCTGGCCTTGGATGGCAACCCCCTGGCTACAGTACCTGAAACAGCATTTCTACACCTGAATGCCACGCTGCGCGGTTTGTCGTTGGGTGGACGTTTCTTGCACTGTGATTGCCATTTGAAATGGGTGGCCGAGTGGATACGCAAGGGTGACTTACAGGTATGTTGGAGGTCTTTAATCGCCAAATTGCTAGATTACAAATAACCACTTCTTCGTCGCTCATTTCCAGGTAACATCTCGCGAACGCAATCCCCAGTTCTGTGGCAGTCCCCCTCACTTCCGTGATCGTGGCTTCTATTCCATACAACCGGATGAGCTGACCTGCAGCGAAACCGAACCGGAATTGGTCTTGGATGACATTTTGCCAACTGGACAGAAACCCACCGTACCAAGCAAAACCGTGCCTTCTGGTCCCACAAATGGAGATGCCTTGGGCAGTAGCCTTCCCACGGCTTCCTCAGTGCCCACCACGGCGGCCACATTGCCAAGCAGCACTTCAAGTAGCAGTGTTGCACCCACCATCGCATCCACCAGCACCACTACAACAACAACCACCACCGTTAAAACGGTAAGTAAATCAATAACCAAAGGGAGGGGGAAACTAAGGAAGTGGAAATTTAATATTCCTCCGAAAAATTAATCCGTTTTCCTCTTAAATAACCGCCTCTTTATTTTTATTACCTCCCACACACAGACAAAAGCCACAACCGTATCCACGCCGGCCGCCCATTCATCGGACGAGACGCCCGGCAATTCGTCTCAACAAGAACAACAACAGCCAGCCATCCAGCCAACACATCAATCAACATCCGGCATTGGTTCCGCCTCGCCAACCACCATTACTCAATCACAGCAGAGTAATGGCAATGCCAAACAATCACCCTCTTGGCGCCAAAATTCAAGCGGCGGCAGCAGCAGTAGTTCCGGTGGCCCAGCACACAAACAACAACGTCCACCGCTGGTTTTGGGCTTCCCCCCCCAGCGTGGCACTCGCATCGATGACTCCAATGAGGTTCAAGTGAAAAATGCCTTCCGTCAGGATAGTTCGGTTATCATTCAATGGGATTCCGATACGGCGAATATCTTAGGTTTTCGTGTTGTCTATCGGCTCTTCGGTGAGAAATCATTCAAACAGGGTCCGCCGTTGGAGGCCAGCGAGCGGGAGTTTAAAATCAAAAATGTCCCAGCCCAGGAGTGCATCATTGTGTGTGTCATCTCGTTGGAAGAGTTGCATGTCACACCCGAAACTGTGCCGTATCAACAGTGTCGGGAGGTGAGGACGGTGGCATCGCAAACATCGAATATGGATAAGATAACGATAGCCGCAAGTGCGGCCATCTGTGGAACGATAATAGTGGCTGTGATTGTTTTTATAGCGGCTAGCAGGTGAGTAAAATGAGAGGATGAAGAGAGGGGAGAGAGGAGGGAGGTTTTTGTGGGGTTGACATGCAGTGGAATACAAATTAAACTATGAAAATAAGTCAAGGGTCAATTATTTTCTGCATTTACGTCGAATCTCTTAGAAACTGAGAGAGAGAAAGAGAGAGGGTAATATTCCGGACCATCCCATTGTTTTGGGCAGTATAGTAATCAAGAAAACATCTGGAATATGGGCATGACCGGGTCTTTATCTCTCCGAGAGATTATGGTCCTGCCCGAACCCTTATCCCTGCCGGAGATAGAGGACCTGACCGGACCCTTATCTCTTCCAGATATAATGAACCTTACCGGACCCGTATCTCTGCCAGAGATAATGGACCTGACCGGACCCGAATCTCTGCCAGAGATAACCCGTTCTGTGGACTCTGGCAGATATAAGGGTCCGGTCAGGTTTATTATCAGCCAGAGATAATGGAATTGACCTGACCCTTATCTCTGCCAGAGATAATGGACCTGACCGGACCCTTATCTCTGCCAGGGAAAATGGACCTGACCGGACCCTTATCTATGCCAGGGATAATGGACCTGACCGGACCCTTATCTCTGCCAGGGATAATGGACCTGACCGGACCCTTATCTCTGCCAGAGATAATGGTCCTGGCCTGATAATGAACCTGACCGGACCCTTATCTCTGCCAGAGATAATGGACTTGACCAGACCCTTATATCTGCCAGGGATAAAAGACCCGACAGGACCCTTATCTCTGCCAGAGATAATGGACTTGAACGGACCCTTATCTCTGCCAGGGAAAATGGACCTGACCGGACCCTTATATCTGCCAGGGATAAAAGACCTGACCGGATCCTTATCTCTGCCAGAGATAATGGTCCTGGCCTGATAATGAACCTGACCGGACCCTTATATCTGCCAGAGTCCAAAGTCCGGGTTCTGGTCGTCCATTATCTCACAGAGAATGGTCCCGATTGACAGTTATGTTAAAGATAATAGTCCTGACCGGTCATTATCTCAAAAATAATGGTCCCGATCGACAATTCTGTGAAACATAATATTCCTGACGGGCCATTATCTCAAAGATAAAAGCGCTGGCCGGACATTATCTCAAAAATAATGGCCCCGATCGACCTTTATCTCAAAGATAATAGTCCTGGCCGGTAACTATCACAATTATACTGGACCTGACCGGCCAAAATTCCCAAATATAAAAACTCTGACCGGCTATTATTTCGAAGAAAATAGTCCTCACCTGCCATTATCTCAAAGATAGTGGTCCTGACAGGCCATTATCTCAAAGATAATGGTACTGACAGGCTATTATCTTAAAGATAATGTCCATGGCTTGGATAATCTTCCTGCTTTGAATACATTAGCTCAAAGATAATGCTGCTAACTGAAAGATACCTCAGAGATAAGACTGCTGAGTGGGCCTTATCTCGGAGATAATATACTAGACCGATCATACTGATCGAGATAATGATTTTCAGTGGTCATTATCTGCGAGATGAAGGTCCTCACCACCGAGATAATAGTTCTGATCAGATCTTATCTTGCAATTAACGATCCTGGTTGACCGCAAGTATATCCATAGCCATTACCTCAAAGACAACTAACATTTCACACTATTATCTCTCAGATAAATTCCGTTTTAGACTATTATCTTTCAGATAAACCTTTTAAGTTCGCATTTTTTTTCATTTTCACAAAGCAGTGATTTGTTGCTCATTTTTTTTTTTTTTTTTGCCCAGCCAACACCACAAATTATGGCCTCCATTATAATGGCATCGATGTGGCCAACAATGCAGTTAATATATGGCCAGCCATGATTTCGATCCAATTTTTATTTCTTACTTAGTTTAGTCTGAGTTAATCTATAACAATTGTTTATGGCTTGATTTCTTATGGTTCGTGTTTTTTTTTATCCCCCTTTTTTTCCATGTCATCATTTTCGGTTCGTCTTTTGTCTGGATGGTCGTGGTGGCGTTGCATCTGCTATATATCATCCTGGTTTATCGCCGTGTGCCCATGTGTGTGTGTGTGTGGATATAATCAACAAATAGACGCTCTCGCAAAATGCAAACCTCACAACAAAAGAGTCCACTGCCAATTGGAGGTTTGCCCGTAAATTGTTGTGGTCCAGCCGGTTCACCGGGACCACTTGGCTCAATCGCAACGCTTTCGGCATTCAATAATCACAAGGTAAGTGAACACCAACACCACCTTATGGGGAGGTATAAGTAGAGATTTATAAAGCAATAAAAAACACATGTAAGTATTAATTCGCTTGAATAGTTTTTGATCAAAAGGGTGTAGGAGAAAAAGAGGACAGTGGTACTTTGCGACGGTTGGAATAAAAACAATTTTTTGATAACAATATTTTTGCCAAATTTTTGAAATCAATTTTAATGAAGTTTTCAAATTTATATTTTTACTATGTCCTGGAATATCCCCTTTGGTCCACTTTCTCCGCCATAAAAACCACTGTAAGCCTCCTCATTGGCCTGCCAAAGAACAAAAGGGCATTACACGGCAAAGTAGTAAAATAGATTTATGATCAGTTGCAGCCCCCCAATTTGTACGCTACACAATTACAACGCCAACACAAACAAAGAGCAAAGAGCGTGCAGCATTGGCCAACATTTTTTGGTGGTGGCCCATCATCCAGGGCCATCTTTTGGCTAGTAGGTACGCGAATAGCATATGTAGTACAATTATGTCTGAACACAAATTGTGGGAAAAGATTGGCTGTTACACATTGTAAATCTCTGGTTGTCTGTATGTCAAGATATCACATAGGGTAGAACGTCCTGGCCAAAGCATAGCTTAGCCAATAATGCCCATACATCCCAGCTAAGACCAGATAAGCATAATAATGCATTCATTCTTCTTCTGCTTGGTTTATTTTTTTTTTGCTCTTGGCTCTAATATGCGAGATACATGGGTGAGGGTTATGCTGATGATATCCCTCGGATTTGGGAGAGAACTTGTGGAGGGAAGTCAACACACACACAAAACACCCATACACATGAATTATGAGCCAAATATTGTAATGTTTCGCAAATCATTTATTTACGCTCATGGATAGGTTTTTGATCTACGTGAAATAATGTTAATTACAGTGTTAGGTCTCAATGGAATGGAGGTGGGGGGATAAAAGGCTCATTATTTAGGCGTATAGAATGGATTTGGAAATCAAAAAACGGCTAGACAACAAGAGGATCATTGGAGTAGCAATCTTTTTTAATTGTGGGACCATTAAATGTGGATTTTTAAAGGATGCTGTTTTAAGGATCAAAGGATTTTTTAAAAAATATTTTTAAAGGGCTATAAGAATTTTTATTTGATGCTTTTTTTTTGAAGGATAAAAAGAGATATTAAATTGGATTTTAAAAATAAAAGATTTTTCCAATAACTATAAAGAAGGATACCCTTTCGAGGACCTAAAGAGATATTAAAAATAAAAGATTTTTCTAAAACTATAAAGAAGGATACCCTTTCGAGGACCTAAAGAGATATTAACTTAGACTTCAAAAAAAAAATTAAAATAAAAATATGGATCTTCTTAAGTATATTTTTTGATAAAATATTTTCAGGGATTAAATAAGATGTATTGTATTTTTAAAACATAATTTTAATAATTTTTAGGGATACTTCCCAAGGATTAAAAGAGATATAACGTGGACGTGTTGGAATATTTTTTAAGAGCCAAAGGATTTTCAAGGTTATTTTTCCAAGATCATAAGAAATATAAACGTAGATTAAAAAAAAAGTAGTAAAAAAGTAGCAAGGATTATTAAAATGTTTTAAGGATACTCCTTCAAGGATCAATAGGATTATAATCGTGGATTTTGTTTTAAACATATTTTTAAGGATCCTCTTTAAGAATTAAAAGATATATAAACTCGAATCAAAAAAATTGTTTTTCAAGGACTTTGATGATAAGGATTTACTTAAGATACTTTGGATTTTTCAAGAAAATTTTTGAATATCAGGCCTCTAAAAGTAAATTTTTCTGATTATTTTTGAAAGAACGAAACGTGGTATTTTTATGAAGGGATTTTTCTAAAGACAGTAAGAATACTTAACGCAGATGTTTGGGAGGACTTTATTTATTTTTTATCTTTTTTGACTACCAGGCCACTAAGATTGAATTTTTTAAAAATACCTTTTCAGAGCCATTGGAGTTGAGTTTTGGAATATTTTTTCAAAGAAAAATAAAACCAAACGTGGATTTTAAAAAATATTTGTCAAGGACATCTATGCAATAAACGTGGATTTTTAAAATATTTTTTCAAGGATAATAAATGTGTTTTTCAAGGAAAATAAACGTATTGTTCCAGGACAATAAATTAGTTTTTTTTTTAAGGACTATAAATGTTGTTTCTTTTAAGGACCATCAGACCACTAAAGTGTCTTTATTTAAACAGATTTTTATATATTAAACCTGTTCTTTAAACTTAGATTTTGTAAGAATTATTTTCAAGGATAATCAGGACTTTTAGCGTTAATGGTTAGGAATTGGAAGAAAATAGAATTTTTAAAAAATACCTTTTCAAGGATTATCAGAGCCATTAGAGTTGAGTTTTGGAATATTTTTTCAAAGAAAAATAAAACCAAACGCGGATTTTAAAAAATATTTTTCAAGGACATCTATGCAATAAACGTGTTTTTTTTTTTTAAATATTTTTTCAAAGACAAAAAATGTGTTTTTCAAGGAAAATAAACGTATTTTTTCCAGGACAATAAATGTTGTTTTTTAAGGACCATCAAGACCACTTAAGAGTCTTTATTTAAACATATTTTTATATATTAAACCTGTTCTTTGAACTTAGATTTTATTAGAATTATTTCCAAGGATAATCAGGACTTTTAGTGTTAATGGTTAGGAATTCGAAGAAAATAGAATTTTTAAAAAAATACCTTTTCAAGGATTATCAGAGCCATTAGAGTTGAGTTTTGGAATATTTTATCAAAGAAAAATAAAACCAAACGCGGATTTTAAAAAATATTTTTCAAGGACATCTATGGAAACTTGGATTTTTAAAATATTTTTTCAAGGACAAGAAATGTGTTTTTAAAGTAAAATAAACGTATTTTTTCCAGGACAATAAATGTGTTCTTTTTTAAGAACAATAAATGTTGTTTTTTTAAGGACCATCAGACCACTTAAGTGTCTTTATTTAAACATATTTTTATATATTAAACCTGTTCTTTAAACTTAGATTTTTTAAGAATTATTTCCAAGGATAATCAGGACTTTTAGCATAAATGGTTAGGAATTCGAAGAAAATAGGACATCTAGAAATATAAATATTTTTAAGGAAAATCCTTAGGTCCCGAATCTCTTTATAAGGATTTTAACAAGGACAATGAATATTTTAAGGACTTCTGGACCTTGGTTTTTTAGTTTTTTTTACCACTCCTTCTGGTACCTCCCCACAAAGGGTTAGAATTTAGAGTAGTCACGAAGCTCTAAAACGCGAAATTAGTATTCAATACATTTAAAAGTCATTTCATCTCAATATTTCTATCAACAGAAAATCTGGTTCAAAGAGGGAATATATCGGCCCACTTCTTCTGGTACCTTTCCCCGCAACGGGTCACAAATTTGAATAATTCTATCTCTGATAAAATGCGAAATAAGCATCCGATTCGCATCACAATTTCATCTCAATATTTGTATTAACACCAAATCTGATTTGGTCCACTCGTTTCGGTACCTCTCCTACAAAGGGTCAAAATTTTGAAACTCATAAAACCCGAAATTAACATCCGAATCCATTCAGCTTTGGTACAGCTCAATATTTCCATCAACGCAAGATCTGTTATAAAGATGGTAGAGGTCGCACCATTTCTTCTGGTACCACCTCCCCCACTTCGGGTCAAATTTTGGAATAATTATATGTCGCATAAAATGTGAAATAAGCATCCGATTTTTATCAAATTCTACACTTCTAAATCACATCATATAAACATCTGGCTGCAAAAACGACTGATACTTTTAACATGTTTAAATTAAATTTAAATTAAATTCTATGACTCATTTTAAAAAAAAAAAAAAGAAAAATTGTGTTTTTAAATATAATTTCCAAGGATTAGATTTTTTAATTAAATATTTTTTATAAAACATTTTTATAGAAATTTTATAAGATTTTGTAATTCTTAGTTAATTTGTGAATTTATTAATTAAATTATTAATTATTTTTTGTTTATCAATTTTTTATTGAATTTCCAAGAGTTCCAATGGAAAGTCTTTAAATTATATTGTATTTTTAAAATTTTATCAAGAATTTTTTTCTAGATTTATTAAGAAATATATTTTTGTAATTTTTTAAAATATTTTTTTTTTTTAATTGGAATTGAGGAATTTTTAAATAATATTAGTTTTCAATCGTGATTTTTTTTTTTTTTTTTTGGAATATGTTTTTAAACCACAATAGAATAATGGTTTTCGTAAAGTATACTATTTGGGGTCATAGATTTTTGAAAATTTATTTTCTAGAAAATTCGAAAAAAAAAATATTTATGAAAAAAAAGATTTATTTTTAAATTTTAAATAAACGAAATCGATTTTTATTCCAGGAATGGGATCAAGTATCTGCCTACAGTGGCCGCTCTATACCACGACCACGTGCCTATCCCATGGACGCTCAAGATGATATGCGTAGCCATTTTTCAGGAATGCCGGGAAAGCTGGCGAAACCCAGGTAAGTTGTGGAACAACAGTCTGATACAATATAGCACTACTGTTAAGCTTTCGTAGAATGCTTACGGTGGAGAGATTTTCAAATTATCTATTTATTTTCACTGTCATAATTTGTGTGTTTTTTATTAGTTTTAAATTATTATTTTTTTGTTTGTAATTATTATTTTATTTAAAAGTTTATTTTTTTGCTTTTTATATCATTTTTTGCCATACCACCATTATCACCACCCACCCAAAACAACAACAACAACAACATCATCATCACCCATTATGACCACACCAAAAACAACAACAACAACCAAAAACACCCCATCGACACACACATATTCGAAAATCGCCCAAACAGATCCATTGCTGATGGCCAATCGCAGCATAGCTTTTCAAATAATTCACATCGCGGCTATTTGGGCACCGCATTCCCATCGAATTTAGTCAATTCCCGACCTGAATTGCGGCAATCACGTCAGTCCCTCGCTGCCCCCTCGGAGAGAATGTCACGTGCCTCCTATGCCGGTTCGATACATGGCGGTGGTGGCGGAGGCGGTGTCGGTGTCGGGGGTGGTGGTCCCACCAGTGTGGCGTCTAGTACACGCCGTTCACGGCCGCGTTCTAGATCACGCGATCAATTGAATGCCACGCATATACATAATCATCGACCTGGAAGTCGGTAAGTAGGCTGACAATAACAACAGCAAAAACAGCAACAACAACAACAAAGCGTTACACTACATTAACCACTAACACTATTTTGTTCTTCATGCTCACCGACACACTCAAATACTCTCTTCAGACACATGAGTCACAAAACTCTCTGGTAATAGACCCACTTTTACACAAAACGGTACAAGATGGAAAACAGCAAAAGCAACAACAACAACGCCAAAACAAAATATCGACACCACAATTTAAGAAAGTAGACTTGCCGCGCTGCAGCATTCTGTCTAGCGTTGGAAGTTTTGAAATGCGTTTTGTTACTAACTTTTTTTTTGTTAACAAAAAATAAAAAATAAATTGGGAATTGGGTAGTGCATGTTGTTGTTGCCTGCTTGGTTGCATTCGTTTGCTCCAGTGACAATGAAATGGAATGACAACATGCAAAGGAACCCCCCGCCCCACTTCTCCTCATACAATTTCTTGGAAAATATTGCGTTTTCTTGGTGTTGGATTTAATGATGAGTTTTAGATTTTTTGTTTGATTTTTCTTGGGATTTTTTTGGAACACAGACACCTTATTTCACACACACACACACAAGCATAATTGTCAAGGGGAAAAAAATTCACACCACATGTCTTTATAAAATATTTAATTTGTTTGTCTTGCTGTGTTGAAATTCGTTTCAATTACTTAAAGCAAGAAATATTTAAAATATCCTATAACGCTATTTGTTGGGGGTATTGTAAGTTTGATTGGGCCAAAAAGTTTGTAACACTGAAAAATATAGGTGATAGGCCCACGTTGACTTTCTATCTCGCCGAGCCGAGTTGATCAAGCTATGTGTATCCGTCCGTCCGTATGTCCATGTTAATGTGATCGCAAAAGGAAGAAAACCTAATTTTGCAGTTGCTCTCTAGGTCACAATTTCGAGACGGAATTTCGCACGAGCTTAAAGTTTAGGTCAGGGTAGATGACTAGAATTTTGGATAGCCATGAGATAAAAGTTTGCGGGTAAAATTGACAATGTTAATTTTTTATACCTATCAGCACGGCAGAGAGCATAAATATAGGGCAAATGTCACCTGTCAAAAACCAAAATTTACCATTTTTGCAGGACAGTATCTCATTAAAAAAAAAAAAAAAAAAGAAATCGACCAAATCTGGTTTGGACCTATGGAGCTTTCCAATATATTATAGTGTTGTAGGATTTCAAATGGTCAGCTATAGCCTTTGCTTATTCGTTTTGTATTTGAGATATGTTTTTGAGAAGTTCTTGTGAGAAACAAGTTTCAAAGCATCAGGTTTTGCCGACAGATGTATACCCTCTGCCAATGTTCGATTATTTAAATATACTTTGATGTCTATTATGATTATTCAAATTGTTGACCTTCTATGGAGTAGGTTTCGTAAGGAATGGAACAAAATTGTCCATTTCGTATAGGACATAAATAAGTATCATATAAATATTGCGACGTGCCAGGTTAAGACTATATTGGTGACTTTCTTTACTTTATATGAGATAAGTGATAATTTTTAGACAATTTTAAAATGTACGTGAGGTACCACATATATATAGTCGACCGAAGTATTCCATTTTCATACTTTATCTAATGCAGATAAAAATATTGGTATTCCATTCAGACTTGACACATCTCAATACTTCCATTCAATGAACCTGAGATGAATATGGAGTTTACGATTTCTCATAAAATTGGATATAAATTTTCGATTTTCTTGTAATTTTGAAAATCGAACATTTATATCCAATTTTATGCGAAATCATAAATACCATATTCATCTCAGGTTCAACAGATCTTGTGTTGATGGAAGTATTGAGATGTGCCAAGTCAGAGTGGAATCGGATGTTACTTTCGCGTTTTATAAGCTCCATAGATATTCAAAATGTTGACCCTTTGTGGAGCAGGTACCAGAAGGAGTGGACTGATATATTCCATCTTCACACCAGATGGATGGAGGCAATCGGACTCTTACATCATATTTTATAAGAATTATAATTATTCAAAATTTTGGACCTTTGTGGGGGAGGTACTTAATGGAGTGAACCGATATTGTCCATTGCAGATATTAGGAATTGCAAAGTTAAAACAAAATCGGATTCTCCTTTCTCTTTCTGTGCAGTAAATTATTTTCTTTGAAAATTTTGACATTTTGTGTGAGAGGTACCAGAAGCAGTGGACCGATATTGCCCATCTCCGAAATCGATCTAAGTTTAATAATAATATTACGATGTGCCAAGTTCGGACTAAATCAGATACTCCCTTTGAGAGTTATCGTGCGCACCAGCCAGACAACAGACAGGCGGACCAACATCGCTAGATCGACTTCAAATGATCTGAAACGGATTTGGTCCAAAGAGACCTAGGGTCTAAAACCATTATTTCGATTAGGCAAGTTTTGGCCATATTAAATGATAAATGCCCTGTGTAGCCATATGGCTGTGGGAAGAGTAGAAAAGGATTATTTGGATCGAAAATTTTAATCCTTAAGCGAGTCACCAAAAGAGTCTTTAGACACATTGGCAGAATTGATGCAATTATTTCTTTGGTGACATGCAAAGAAATTTGATGGAGAATATTTTTGTCTTTAACGTCATCCTTCTAAAATGATGATTTCTTGAAAAAAAACCGAGGAAAATTTTATAAAAAAGAAGTCTTTTTTGGCTTTTTTTTTTGTTATTTTTTGTTATAGAATGAAAATAGAGATTTCGTTTTTGGAGTGGTGAAATTTGATGACGAATATTTTTGAAGTTGGATTACATCCTTCTGAAACGATTATATGTGGAAAAAAAGACAAAAAAAATTAACCAAAAAAACGGGGATATTTTGATGAAGGTGGTTGAGAAGAATTTTTTATGTCCAATGAGATCTAAAACTGAAACTTTTAATAAATAGAATTTTCAATTTTTAACTAAAAACAATAGCCTTTTAAAAATATTGTAAAGCGATATTAGATTTGAAAACGGAGGATTTTACATTTTTTTTTTTTTTTTTTTGAGAAAAAATCGTATTTTTGTTTTTTATTCTTTATCCATTAAAATTTATATTGAGGTCATCTCGATTTAATTTACTTGGAAATATTTGACATCCTTTAAAAAAATTTATTTTTTTCAAATTCAAAATTGTATTATTGATTCATTTTTGTCGAGCAAAACAATACCTGCTGTGACCTCCTCCACTGCGTATTAGTGTTGTCATAATGTATACGCCACCCCCAACTAAAACTCGTACACGGAAATTTTTCTCAATTTACATACAGTACATTATATTAAAATCTCATTACAACATCAACAACAATATTCGTTGAAAAAAATCACACACACACACAAAAACAAATTTCATTATAAACCAATATATGTTATTAGCATATCTCATGGATATCCACATAAAATTCACAGTCATACACTTTTACCAGCCAGTAGTTGTTATTACATGGGACAAATGTCATTAATATATTTATATAAACATATGTATGTGGGATTGTCATACACTCACACACATACATACTCAAATCATTTGTATTCATGGAGTAAAGAGAAATATATTCCCAATTATTTTCAATATATATGTGTGTGTGGTAGTTCATATGATGTTATATTGGGATATATGGTAGTTTTGTAGTCTCATCCATTTTACCCGTATGGATGTAGTTGGGTCTTAGTCTTATGGCGGCTTTCTGTAGAAGCATTTAGACATACTTCGTCCACTTGGATAATGATTTCAAATTTAAAATTTTAATTCTTTTAGATATGGCTACTAATGGAATTACCACAAATTGTTAATGTTTTCTATTAAATATTCTACGAGAAATTGCACGTTGATTGACTCCTCCATAAGTTATTAGATTTTTTTCCTGCAAACAAATGAGAAAACATGCCAAAAAAACACCCACACATATACCAAAACTAGTTTGTGTAAGTACAACAAGGAAGAAAAATACGGATTTTTAATGGAAAATAAATTTGAAATTATAAAATTGAATACAAATGTCAATTTCTTGACCAAGCCAGTAAAATCAATTTAAAGAAAAATATTTCGAAAACAAGTACGAAATAGCAAGGACTCCCAAAGCTGTAATTGTGATATATTATAATTTCGTTTGAAGGTCGGATGGAATCAAAATTTCTATTTTTTTTTAAGAATTTTCAAAGTCAAAATTTGGAGTTTTTGAATATAATTGTTTCAATGGCTATAAGAGCAACGTTCGAGGATTTTTTCAAATATATTTTTTTTCAGAGACAGAAAAACCTACAAATGTTTTTTTTTTTTTTTCAAATATATTTTTCAAGGACTATAATAGTTTTAAACGTGGATTTTTTAACAATATTTTTGAAGGTCCAAAATTTGAATTTTTTAAAAATATTTTTGAAGGATCAAAAGGTGGTTTTTTTTTGAGAAATATTTTTGAATTACCAAAACTTGGATTTTCTAAAAATATTTTTCAAGGACCAAAATTTGGATTTTTGTAAAAAAATTTTAAAAGACCAAAACGTGGATTTTTTAAAAATATTTTTGAAGGACCAAAAGGTTCAGTTTTTTGAAAAATATTTTTGAATGACCAAAACGTGGATTTTTTAATAATATTTTTGAAAGACCAAAACGTGGATTTTTTTAAAATATTTTTGAAAGACCAAAACGTGGATTTTTTTAAAATATTTTTGAAGGACCAAAAGTTGGAGTTTTTTGAAAAATATTTTCCAAGGACCCAAACGTAGATTTTTTAAAAATATTTTCCAAGGACCAAAACATGGATTTTTTAAAAATATATTTCAAGGACCAAAACGTGGATTTTCTAAAAATATTTTTCAAGGACCAAAATGTGGATTTTTTTTGAAATATTTTTCAAGGACCAAAATGTGGATTTTTTTTTTTTTTTGAAATATTTTTGAAGGACAAAAAAACACGTTTTTGTTTTTTTTTTTTTTTGAAATATTTTTGAAGTACAAAAACGTGGATTTTTTTTCACCCGGTTTTTTCACACGGTTTTTCTGCATTTGTTTGTAAAAGGCAAGAGGAAACGAGATAGACCCATAAAGAAAAAATCACATTCTGAGTCGATTTATGTATGTCCGTCCGTCTGCTGTCCATGTATTTTTGTAAACAAAGTACATGTGGCATTTATTGCCCGATCCAGATGAAATTTTGCACAAGTCATTTGTTTGAACCAAGGGCGAACCCCATTGAAATTGGATATAATCGGTCAAAATTGAGATATAGTTCCCATATATATCTTCGTCCGCTTTGCCCAATAGTATGGAATTTTGCATATACGACCAAATTAAGCCCAGAAATAAATATGCCAAATTTTATCGAAATCGGTTCAGATATAGCTATAGCTCCCATACATATATTCTTTGTCCTCCGCAACCGTAATATGCACTCTGTAACAACGATATTTGGGGAAAAATATCAAATACAGCACATAAATACCTTTCCCAAATTTATCAAGATCGGTTCAGATTTGGATATAGCTCTCATATATATACTCGTCCGATTTGCTATGAAGATGGAATATATCGGACTACTCTTTTTAGTACCTATGAAATGCTAAATAAGCACTCGGTTCTCTCCTTCTGGGACCGCCCACAAAAAGGGATCAAAATTTTGAATAAACCAAACGCTCACAAAAATGCGAAATAAGACTCCGATTCCTTAAGAGTTTCTCACACTTCTATTTTTACTAACGCGGAATCTGGTGTGAAGATCATAAATATCTGCTCACCACACCACTACCATATCTCAATTCCAGATACCAACAGAGACCTCAGTATCAAATTTTGAGAATTTCAGCTCTATTTCTTCACTCAATTACAAATCAAGTACTATTTAGTCCTTTTTGTACAAATCTAGGAATCATTTATAAACCATAACTAAATATCAAACACAAATACCACAAAAGACCTCAGTATCAAATTTGGGGATTTCGGCTCTATGCCTTCATCCAATACCAATTTTTTTTACAAATTTCCAAAACCAACTCCATATCTCAATTCTAGGTACCAACAGTAACCCAAATATCAAATTCCTGAATTTTATAGTTATCCTTTCAACCATGACCATTTAGTACTTTTCGTACAAATACAGTTCACATTTCTAAAAACCACCATCATATCTCCAATTCGGATACCAACAGGGACCTCAATAACAAATTTCAGCTCTATCTCTTCATCCAATACCATTTACAGTATCATTCAGTTCTATTAGTACAATTATAGTACACATTTTGGCCAAGCTACCCATGAACGGTGACCCTAATACCAATATTCAGATTACAAGCACTAGTTCTTCGCCTAATACCAAATTGTGCCAAATATAGTACTATTAAGTACTTTTTGTGCAATTGTAGTACAATTTTCCAAAGCCACCTCCACATCTCAATCCCCAGACCCTAATATCCAATATCAGGAATTCAGCTATCAGCTACTACCCAATACCAAAAAAAGTACCATTCAGTACTTTTCGTACTATTCTAGTACACATCAATATCAAATTTTAAGATTTCAGCCGTATCTCTTCACCTAATACTAAATTTAGTACCATTCAGTACTTGTGCACTTGTAGTACACGTTTCCAAAGTCACCTCTTTATCACTGATCTACTACCAACAGGGACCCAAATACAAAATTTCAAAATTCCAGTTTCATCCGTTCGCCCTAAACCAAACTGTTCCAAAATTAGTACCATTTGGTACAGTATCGTACACATTCTCAAAACCACCTTTTTATTTATCAAACTTAGTTTCCAACCTTGGTTCTCATATCAATTTTCAAGTTCTTAGCTTTATTCGTGTACATAGTACCAAATGGCACCATTTTAGTGTTTATCAATCCTGCAATCTAATAGTGACTCTCATTTCAAATTTCCGAATTCTAGCTCATACCCTTTTAGTACGAATTTCCAAAAACCAAGCCTATGCACCAAGACTGAACCTCGTACAAGACTGAACCAGCTGTTCCGTCTGGGCGTTGATTCTCTGTCAATCAGATATTTCACTACTCTTTTATAGATAAACGTACATGGCTGAGGGTATGCATCTTTCGGCAAAACCGATTGATAATTTTTAACTTATTTTTAATTTTAGTCGTGGATTTGATAAAAAAAATAATAGTTCAATGGCTGATTGTGCATTTTTTAGGAAAATAATTTTTAAGGACTATCAGAGAGCGACTGTATTTTTCTGGGGTTTTCACAAGCAATCCTGGATTTTTTTTTCAAAAATTGAATAGTTTCAGTTTTTACAATTTCTATTTTTTCTTCAAATTTCTTTAATTACCCCTAACCCCTTACTTTTATTTTTTTAAAAATTTTTTGTCTTTTTTTCTAAATACTACTAATTTCTTAATTTTTTCCAAAAAAAAAATACTAAAAAAAAAATCAAAAAAATATTTTCTTTGGATTTGCAATTAATGTCGATTTGCCTTTTCCACAGATACTCCACCGCCGGCTCAACCCACACCCTCAACAATTATTGCGACACATCGGATAATTGGACCGATCACGATATGGACATCTATATGGCTAGAAATCCAACGACACGCAATGGTCTGGTGCCATTATGAGGGCGGGTTATGCTTTCCTGATATTTCGATGTTGTATTAAATTTAGATGAGCTTTTCTGACAGTACGTTACGCCTAATCGTCATTTGCAGCGGCAGCAGAGACAGCAACAACAACAACAGCAAAGACGTTTGATCAAATGTTCAGGTGCTGGTGGTGCTGCTGCAAATCGTGGCGATCAGGTGTATGATTTGAATATGCAACAACAACAACACTACCATTATTATTATCACCAACAACAACGACAACAACAGCCATATCATCAACATGAACGTTTGCGACAAAATTCCCCAACAATATCCACAACAACAACAACAACGACGTCAACTACAACAACAGCATCAACCTATCCCCGTTGTACCTCACCGCCCGATGTAGTGCCAAGACCACAAAATGTTCAACAAAAACAGGCAACGCCCTCCACCATACCCGAGGAGTATGAAACGAATGGTATTGTTGTTGAAAACTATTTCAATGAGTACGAACGTCAGGAAATTGTCCATCATCCAGTTAAGCGGAAGTCCAAATCCACAGCAACAACAGCAGCAGTAGCAGCAACAACAACGGCAGTAGCTGATGTTGCAACACCACCTTTGGCATCCTTGTGTTCGATTATCATTAACCAAACCACCGGCAACGACACTTCAACAAGTTCCGCCACAAATCCGGCCATGTCACCACGTGGTTTCAAACATCCAACGCCAATATTCACGGTGACAACAACAACACCAGCACCACCAACGCCATTGTCGTTGCCCGGTGAGAGGGGTGTTACATATCAGCTGCCCGTGTCAACAGCTCAACAACTAATTTATCAACAACATCAGCAACAATTTAAAGAACAAAAATCACAACAACAACAATTGAACGAATCAACGATTAAGTCTAATATTAATTATAAAAAAACAACAAAAAATGCAAATAATAATTTTAGCAATAACAACAATAACGATAGCAATAACAAACTTAGTAATAGTCAAACTTTCAAGGAGAAGTCCTTCGCTTCGTCCTCCTCTACAACTATGTCTTTAGGTAGTTCGAATCCATCATCCTCATCATCGACAACAACAACAACTTCCATGGCATCTTTACAGCTAAACACAGATGATGGAAATTATAGCACAGACTAGTTTTGGTAAAGAAAAAAATTCAAAAAAAAAAATTTTTTTTAATTTAAATTTTTTTTAATTGTCATAAAACTTACAACGAAATTATTTTTTATATTTTTTTTGAAATTTTTTTTTTTTTTCTTAAATTGTATTATTTTTTTAATTTTCTTTAAAAACTTCAAATGATTTCCAACAGCCACCTTCTTCATTATCAAATGAACTACAAAAAAATATATGTGGCTGTTTGAAATTATTTGGACAAATTTCTCCCTTTTGTAACTAAAAAAAATTGAAATTAAAAATTAATGTTTTTAAAAAAATTGTATTTTAAACTAACTACGGCTCAAATCTAACCATCTTTTTTCAATAGCTTTTTATATATTATAATTGTAAGTTAAAATATAACGGTGCAATTTGTATTTCTTTTTTTTAATTTTTTGATTTGTACAAAATAATTTTTCCTTTAATTCAAAATACCACATCAGGTTCTTAAATTTCGACTAATTTCTTAATTTTTATTAATCTTTATATACTCCTAATTTTTTGTTCATTTAGTATCTGTGTATAAAATTTAATAATTATTTTTAAAAATATAATAAATTAAGCATATATTTTCATTTATTATATACAATAATTTTGTTTGTTTTATTTATTTGTTTTTTTTTTCTGGCTTCTCAATATTAAATTTTGAAACGATGAATCAATGGGGATATTTTTAAATGGCAAATGTAAGAAACTTGAATTTTTCCTATTTGATTTTTTTTCGAATTCGTACCAAAGTGCCTCCTTTTGGTTAACAGTATTATGCAGCTAAAATGGTGTACTCTTGTAGCAGGAATATTCAAATAAATGCACAGAAATTTACTTAAATTTATTAGGATCTAAAATTCTGCTTCTACTAAAAGTACTAAACATTGCACTAATAGAGCTAGAATTCTTAAATTCAGAATTAAGGTTGGGTACACCTGTTTGTGTGAAAATTCAACCCCATAATCGGTACTAAAAATATGCAAATGTGCGAAGATTTAGGACCACTTCTAGAAATTCGTACCCAAGTTTTAAAAACTGTTTTTGGAGCTTAAATTACCTGCTAAAAGTTTAAAAAGTTTTAAAGTTACTAAAACGCACCATATATTGTACATCCGACTTAAAAAATTAAAAAAAAAATCTAAAATTAAATTTTAAGAATATTCAAATATTTTTCTGCTAGTAGAGGTAAAATTCTGAAATGTGGTACTAAATGGAAAAAATTTACTAAAAGTTCCTAGGATCTTAAATTCTACTTAGTACTAAAAAATACTAAATATCGTACTGACAGACCTAAAATTCGTAAATTTGAACTAAGGGTTGGTTAATATTTTTGTGTAAATTTCGACCTTTAGATCTTTACAACAGATCTTGTGTTGATAGTAATATTGGTGTGCCAAATCTGAATGAAATCGGATGTTAATTTCATGTTTTATGAGTTTCATGGATATTCAAAATTTTGACTTTTTGCGGGGTAGGTACCAGAAAAAGTGGGTCGATATATTCTACCTTCACACCAGACCGTAGGTTAATAACAATAGGATTCTTACATTACATTTTATAAGATTTATAAATATTCAAAATGTTGACCCTTTGTGGGGGAGGTACTTAATGGAGGCGACCGATATTGTCCATTTTCGCACCGGAACTAGCTGTGATGCAAATATTAGGATTTGCAAAGTTGGAGCCAAATCGGATTATCCTTTCTTTGTCTGTGCACTAAAATATTTATTTTGACGATTGCGATCTTTTGTAGGGGAGGTACTAGAAGTAGTGGACCGATATTGCCCATCTCCGAACTCGATCTAAGTTTGCCAATAATATTACGATATACCAAATTTGGATCAAATCGGATACTCCCTTCGAGAGTTGTCGTGCTCACCAGCCAGACAGACAGGCAGATGGACGGATGGACATCGCTAGATCGACTCCAAATGTCCTGAAACGGATTTGGTCCAAAGAGACCTAGGGTCTACAACCACTATTTCGATAAGGCACATTTTGACCTTATCAAATGATATGACTGAGAATATAAAAAGGTACCAAATGTACTAAAATAATTGTAAAATTTGGCAGGATTACCTCTTCTGATGTAAAGGATAGAGAAATTCAAGTTTTATGTAAATTCGTACTAAAAGTCCTTGAAGTTTCGCATGCAGATCTATTTTGGTATAAGGCATAAAATAGTGAAGTTTTCTAAAAATTCGTAAAAAATATTCTACTAAGGAAGCCAAAATTTGGAAATTGGTGTTAAAAAGCTACCAAAAGTATTAAATGCGAAAAAGTTCAGTTTAAATTTTAAAATTTGGCAAGGGGCGAACGAAGGTAACATATGTACATATGTGACCTTTTGTGTGGGGCGGTACAAGAAGGTGTGTGCCAATATTCTCCATTTTCGCCCTATACCTAAATCTTATATAAATATTACGGAGTGCCGAATTTGAACTATTTAAAAATTTATTATGTTTGCAACATTTTTAGCTTTTTTGGGAGAGTTACCGATAACTCCCATCTCCACAATTCTGGGTTTGATAAAAAGTATTACAACGTACCAAGTTCGAACCAAATCGCAATCTAGACGGACAAATGAACGGACGGAGGAAACAAATTTCGTAAATCCGATGTGACACAATTTAGAAGCATCAAATGTTAAAGATCCTCTTTAGCCAAAATACTGAATGTATAAACAATAGGGAAGAATATGGGTTTCGGCTACGATAATTAAAATTTGTGACGTATATATATATCGGAAACACACTACAAAAACAATGTGGATAAAAGTTACGATTGTATGTCAATTATTACGATTACTTCAAGAATTATGGGTCACGTCAAGCCTAAGATATGCATAATAATTCTCTCTCTATTCTAAAAATGAATTTTTGGAGCTATTAAACGTTACGTAAGTTCCCTGCAACGTATACGTTACGGCAACATTCATACGTACCACATAACCACCAAATATCTATCTCCTCTATTTCACGCATAGTACTTTTCTCATTATTTTTCGTAACTTTTTGACATTGCCCATTTATTATTTGAGTGCAAGAGTTTTTTTTTTGCCACAACTTTTAACAATTATTTAAAAGTTTTCATTCCACACATTTCTTTTGCTTAATTTTCAAAATTTATCTTCGTTTAACTCTTGAATAGTTTCAACAAAATGAGTTTTTGCGATTTATTCAACAATTATGCGTTGCATTGTGAGAATGTTGCAATTCCCATGCAAACATTTGGAATGTAATTATAAAATGGGGAAAGGAAAAAAATGGTTGAAGATGATAATGGCGAAAAAAGAAATAAATTGTTTGTAAGTTTGTGGCTAGGCGATAATTTTTTTAAATTGCATTTTGGGCTTACATCGCTAATGTGGGACTAGGGGCAGATCCCAGGCAGGCATTATTATATAGGTTTTTTTTTTTTGTAGTGGACTATTTATAAGGCATTTCAATTAATATTCATTTTTTTTTTCTTAAAAAAGTTGATATATATTTATTACAACTTCAGTTATCATTCTTAATCTCATCACATTTTTTTATTTTTTTTTTTTAAAGAAAGAATTCAAATAAATTTATTACAACTTCTTCTCTTTGCCACATCACAAAATAAAAGAGAAATTACCAAAAACATTCCCAAACTCACATTTTTCTCTTCTCTCTCTCTCTCTCTTTCCCTCAACCACCATTGAGTATTTTTTCTCGCCTTTGATGTATAATGTGGCCGTTGTGGCCAATGTTGTTGATGTCCATTGTAAGTGTCCATTCGTAAATTGTTTTCTAAATTGCACCACATTAATTTCTATAGAACACTGCCGCTAGCAAACGAAGCAAAACAAAAACAAAAAACGGCAAAGAGCAAAAATAAGTTTGTCTCTCCC